TTAAGATAATAAAGATTAACTTTGTAATTTTACAACAATTAAATTACTTATTTCGCTTTTAACATTGAACGTTTACACTGAGAAACAAAGTGAAAAATGTTTGTAATGGTGTTATAAAATGGAAGTCAATGATATGGAGTGATGGATCTCAATTTACGATGTTTTGCCAAACTCATGTTTTGCAAAGAGATGGGTGATATTGAAAATCTTATCCATTGGTAAAAAATGCTGGTGGAGATAATGGTTTTGTGGAAAAAGGCCAGCCCCTTAGTTAGTGTAGGTGGAGGATGAATCATTAGAATTTTGGAGGGAATTTATTATGCTTCAGAATTGGAGACTGCTCTGAAAGAGAAAGGGTAGAAGTGTCCACTAGACTAGGTACTAAATTTTATTATTTATTATTTTATTGAAAAAAAAAACAATACTAATTGAATTTTCAAATTTCTCTATATATTGATTTAGATAAATAAAGGCCACATACCCTTCAAAACCTAAGCAGCATAATGTTTATGGGTTTTTTTATAAATATCTTCTGTGATCCAATACTTTTGTCAAGATAGTGCATGTAAATAAAAAAAGTTATTATTATTAAGAAAAGAATTAGTGGACTTAAAGTATATCAATTTTTAATTAAAAAAAATAACCATAGTACATATAAATTTATTGCTTAAAATAGTAATTATTTGAAACACTTCTAATTCATCATGTTTAGTTCTTTGACTATATGTTCTTATATTAATGTTACTATAAGAACTAATTGCATTAGAATAAACAATATTTCCTGGTCTAAAAATAAGATCACAACCACCATCACCACCAAAAGCAGCCAAATTTAAAGGATGACAGTAAATTGCATGCTCATAATCATTATTGACAACATAACTATCAGTTGCAGGACATTTGTTGATTGACCAATTAAAATCGCGAATTTGATAAATGTAGAAATAAATATGGGTTTGTCAACAATCACTTCATCAACAATTGTTTCATTAATGAATTTAAGAAGTTGGAAGCAACCATTGAAATAGTCTAATAAATTAAATTGTACTACTCGAACATGTATTTAAAGGGTTGGTTTTTGACTTGGTCGAAGAATAACTCTCTTCTCTTGACTGTATCTCTCGATATAATCAAAATAATCTTAATATGGGGCATGCTGCAACATAACCAGACAAAGTGAACATTAGTGTTACCAAGGATTTCAGGGATCAAAATTTAGTTATTATCATCACAATTAGTTTTATAATGTCCCATTTGTTAATGATATATAGAACTATCCCTATATAAAAATAGTTAATATGAAACCCATTTACATCAGATCTACTATGGAACCCAAGAATTATAGTACTATCAGAAGTATTTTGAAGAAAGAACAAGGTGAAA